AAAAAAAAAAAAAAACCCAACTCAGCTCGGACCCCAGCAGCTCAGGTACATAACTTGCCGGAGGGAATCCTCAGCCTGCTTCCTCTTATCTTCGCCGCCACCGCCGCCGCCGCCGCCGAAGAATCCCCCCATCTCGGAGTTGAGCGCGCCGGAAATAGGCCGGACGTCCGCCGCATCTCCGGCGGCGGGGAAACAGTGCTTCTTGCCATGGTTGAGCGATTTGAGGCCGGATTTGAGCTTATGCCCCTGGTCCGTGTGGCCGTTCACCACCGCCACGGCCATCCATAGTCTGTTCATGTGACTCATATTTTTTCTAGCTTTTTTATTGTTTATCTTTCTTCCTATCCAGAGACTTCTATTTTTTTTATCCAAAACAGTGATCGACTGTGTATTTGGGTAGTTGGGAAGAAGTGAAAGGCAGCTTGTATTTGTAGGCGGGCTGCAATGATAGATTACTTTTTTAATTATTTCATTTTCCTAATTTATCGATGGTGGGACAAATTATTGGCTTACATTTTGTTTATCTCATGAGATATCGCGGCTAAATGATATGAAAAATGTTTGCTTTCAAGGGAATAGGGATAATCATTTAATAATTTTAAATAAGATCAATTCAAGCTAGCTAAGTCCATTATTCATTTATTAAACTCAATTTAACTCGTTTAATAAAATTAAGTATTTATACAAACTCGTTCGCAAAAATATTCAAGTTTGAATATTTAATGTAAAACAATATAGAACTAAAAAATGAATTACTCACGAACAAAATCAACGTGGCTCATTTGTAAAATGAGTTCAATAGTTGTTTGAGCTTAGCTCATGCAAAAAACGACGAACTAAACTTGAACTTTTACAAGCTAAATTGAGTTATATTCACAAACAATTGAATTTAGACAACACTAGTAGATAATGCTTCTAGTTCAATTTTTTAGTTCATATGTTATTCTATAGATAAAATAAAATATTATTTTGTTATAATAAACGATCATACTTAGGGTATAAACTAGTCAAGTCGTATTTTGAAATTTTAACTATATTTGGTAAATATAGTTAATAGTTTACAAATGAATTTCAAGCTTACAATTGGTTATTTTATAATTGATAGCTAAAAAGATAGTTGATGTGATAAAAATCGTGTGATAAAATTAAAGTGTCAAGAACTATAAGCTCGAGTTTGTAGTTGATATAAACTCGAGCGTATCGCTGAAATCAAACACACATTCTTACTTTTGATAGGCAAACGCAAGCGTTTATCGAGCCAAAATTAAAGTCGACAATTAAATTTTAACCAAGTCAAATTTAAATCTTAACTTGATCGGAATTATTTGCAAAGATATATAATAAGTGAGCGTGGATATTTTAATTTTACTTTTAATAGAAAAATAAAAAGAAGAAAAAAAAAAGAAAAAAAAAAAAGCTAAAAAATGTGAAAAGAGATGGGCCATCCGGCCATGTGGCGTGCTTATCCGAAGGCATCCATTGACTCTTATTCACTCCCCAATGGGCAGCCAACAGGTTTCACATATTCTACTCTACCCCTTCACGTGGGCCCGCATGTGGGCCCATCCTTCTTTATTATATTCGGTTTTTGTCTTCTACCCTTCAGTTTTGTACTTATTTACTAAACACCGCCCCCTTTTCGATTATTACCGCCCAAAAGTCAAAATTACCCTCCACCTCATTTCTCTCTCTCTTCTACTCTCTTTCTCTCTCTCGTTTTTTGCTCGTTAGACGTCTGAAAAAATTCTGAAAAAATGTCGGGACCATCTAAACGCGGCGGCAAGGGGTTCTTCGTTCGA